TTGAACCCTATTGGCCAGTTTTACTGGCGTGAGTCAAGAAGGCTTCAGTAGTATTTGGAGGAAAGGGTAATTCCCAAAGCAATGTAGAGTGACCGAATCGAAAGGGAACTGTGTAACGTTATGGAATAAAATGTTGACCCACGAAGAGGTAATAATGATTGTCAAGCATTGGGGTGTTGATCAACTCCATCTACGTTTTGATTATCATTCTGAATCTAATTCATAGTCTTTTTTCAGGTTTTTGTTTAAAATGTTGTTTATTTATTTCTTTATTTTTTATTTATATATGAAACTTACCCACATTCAAGTGTTTATAAAAAAGAATGCATGAAGCTAGAATAAAATGTTATTGTTTACAAGCAGATACCCTGTTCTTTCTTTTTGATGTATGTTCAGATTTTAATATAACAAAATACATACAAATTAATAAATATGGACATAGTAGTATGATGTAAAGTTCACTTAAAGAAAACTTAAGAATATACTTGCAGTATAAAACTACTAAACTAGTAGTTTACTGAGACTATACTTCAAAGTGTACTAAAAATGCTACAAGTATTTAATTAGTAAACTATCAGTATACCTTTAAGTTCACTTTTAGTATAGTTGCAGTACAAACTAAAAACATAGATGTAAACTAGTAGTAGTAGTAGTAGTAAACTAGTACTCAAAGTTTACTACTGTTATACTTAAAGGATACTTAAAAGTGTACTTTTATACAAAAAAAGTGGGCAAATTTAGTCCTAAGGAGTATTGAAATAATACACTTACAAGTATACTACTAGTACACTGATATTTGTATTCTTACTACATAAAATATACTTAAAAATATACTTGAACTTTACTTAAGTATACTTAAGAAAATAAACTTGAAGTATACTTCATTTTGGTAAGGGAAATGACTATATATCACAAAGTCCGACTGTGAGATGAACCCTTTTATGCCTCACGCCTCCATGGTCAGATGGGCGTCTGCTCTCACTGACTCCGCCCACAGTCCAGTCTACCTGCAAGCTGATTGGTTCTCAGTGGCAGCACAAGGGATTGACGAGCAGCTAACACTGTCCAGTATCATGAGAGCACCTTCAGCTTCTAAAGAGCCGTAAGGTGAAAAGCCCAAATTTCTCATATATTGCAGAAATAATAATAAATAGCCTACATATCCCTGCATATAATAATATATGTTATTTATTTGCATAATATATTGTATAATAAATTATAATAATTGTTTGTAAAGAGCCAAAAGGTAGAGCACAGGTTTCTCATGTATTGCATAAAATTTTAATTAATATATTACATAATGTTACATACTTTATATCGGCACAATAATTATATAAAAATGTAAATAACTGCAATTTATAATTATTAGTGGTAGTAGTATTATTAGTAGTATTCTACATAGTTATACATAATATGTGATTATATATTTTATTTGTAATTTTTTTGATGGATTTGCATTCCAATTAGATCTTGCAATTTATATATCTTATGATGTGATTTCATATTTTATTTGTATTTAATTTTTTTTAAATTTTTGATTTGCATTCCAGTACGATTTTGCATGTATTTTAGAATTTGAGTCATTAAAGTAAGGACTAAACTCTGTTTAACCCTTCTGAGTTAATGAGGGTTAAACACTTGTTTTACTTTGCTCCATTAATCTCACTTTTTTCCCTCGCTTTCTTGAAGTCATTCTGAGTGTGTCCAGTAAAACTCCTGTGGTCCGCTCTAGACTGGGAGAAGCGGTTCTGTTGGACTGTGGGTTCTGGGTCGATTCGTCTTCTCCGGTTCATGGCTCTGGATTCTCTGTCGAGTGGCGCTATCAGTTCCGGGGTGAAGGACGGCTGGTCCTCGCTTACGACGGCAAGACCGATCGGTTTGCAGAGACATCAGAGACCAGAGCCGATATTGACATCACAGGCCTCTATGAGACAGGAACACATCACTGATTCTGGAAGAAGCTCAAGTGAGACACTCAGAAACTTACATCTGCACGGTCTATCTTCCTCACCTGCTGGCTCCGGTAGCTGTGGACCTGGAGATAGTTGGTGAGATGATGCTGTAGCCATCTAGTTTATCAACTCTATGTGTTATAATAAATTTCAGTTATATGTAACCACTCCCTCTTTTCTTCCAGAGCCTCCGTCTCTCTCCATCTACCCGTCTCCTCTTCCTCTGCTGGTTCCTGGGCAGGTGCTGCTGGTTCAGTGTGAGGCGTCTGGTTTTGCTCCTCACACACTGGATCTGAGCTGGGAGTTCAGTGGGGCAGACGGGACGTCCCGCTCTCTGGGTCAGGGCAGTGTAACGGGGCACAGAGAGGCGTCTGATGGCACCTTCAGTCAGAGCAGCCGTCTGGAGCTGGAGATGTCACCTGTGTAGCCAAACATGAGGGAGGAACACGACGAGCTGCTGCTGCACTCAGTGTGATCGATGAGCTATACTGTCTTAGATGGACACATGATAGGTGGCAACAAATGTCATTGTGAGGGAGTCAACCAAAATGTTTTTTTTTTTTAGATTTCCTTTTATGTTCTATTTGCATTTTCAAAAGAATATATATGTAATTCAGAATGTTCTGCAAGTCTTGATGTGATGTTTTGTTGATATCAGGTGTCAGTGCTCCTTCTATTGAGGACTCGATGGCGATGTTGCACTTGTTCTTTATGGCATGATAAAGTTTCTTTCCTGGACATTCAGCTCTTCTGGTAAGTCAATTCAGTTTGATCACTACAATCTTTGATTTTTTTCTAGTATCACTGCATTAGAATTATTTGTTCTATAGTAAAAAAAATACTGTATTGCAGTATAAATAGACTAATATTGTGTTTGCGATACGGTATGCCCTGGAATATATTAAACATCCAAGAACGTTAATGTTAATAGAGTTTTATTGATGAATATATTTTGTTTTCATATAGACTCCAGTGACACAGATTTAAAGGATAAGGTAAATAACAATCATTTTCACTAAACGGCAAAAAACACTCTCAAAACTTTTACATTTCATTCATATTTAGTTTTCAGGTATAGGTGTCTGTCTGCTTATTGAATATCTTTGTCTCTTCTGAAGAAGGAGAAGTAAATCTGGACCTGGAGGGGATTTTAGAGGCTGAATAGAGTGCAGAGAAACTGGTCTTGTAAAAAACCTTTCAGAATAGTTGAATGTATGGTGTTTCCGTTTCAATGTGACTGTACATGTGTTTGGGTTGGTTTTGCTGTGCAAGTTTTTTAAATTTATTTAAATTACATTTTGTAATGTGAAATGTAAATTGATTGTGTTTTAAATACTTCTGAGTTTGAGCTTTGATAAACAGAACTTGATTGATGAAAACTCAGTTATACTAGTTAGTGTGGAGCTTCAAAGAAGTAATGACCTGTTTGTTAAATCATTAGGATGTTACCTGCCTTTCTGTCTCTTAACTCTTGAAGTCCCTGGAGGAGGGGATCAGGCAGCAGATGTATTCTTTTTTTACTTTGTGTTATGAACAGGCAAAATACAGAGGATATATGTCAGACATCTGATCTCCTATTCAAACTCAACATTTTATTACTTCATTTTTTCAAACAAAAGGCCATGTTGCTGCATTCTTTGTAATATTTAAATAGTATTTTCTGTAACTAGCACAAACAAAACAAATTGAAAAAGCACTTTATGAGTTCTAATGTCCTTATTTTGTAGGTCAAGTATGGCCCCTCTATTTGATTTGCTTTATTGTTCAACCATGGTCCAAACATGATGAATACTGTATAACAACATGCATGATGTCAGAAAGGAAATGAAGGATATATCCCAGGTTTGAACAGAAAGATAAGAGTAAAGAAAATGCATACTTCATTTTTCAGAGAAAATAATATGCTCACAAACAGCAAAATATTGGTATTTTATTAAAAGGTTGCTATTTGATATATTGCGACATTGTCACAATATGACATTCAGACATTATATGAAAAATTAGTGAAGGATTAAATAAAATAAATCAAACAGAAAATTCCAAAAATGAGATTAAAATGCAAAATGGAAAGTTGCGTTTTAATTCCATTTTTCTTAAATCTTTAAGTTATTTGTGTATTTTTTCCTTCACACAACTTGCTAATGAGAGGATTTCATCAATCATCAGTAGGCAGAATTTATGAAACCATTAAGTGGTCATGTCAAATAATTCATTCCAACCTGATGACCAATGAGCGTAGAGGAGTTGGGTGTTTTCCCATTTTTATTAAAAAAAATTCACCCCATTTGCCTGCCACAATTATTTACCAAACTTTCCGGCTTCTCTTAATGGTGGCATGCTAACATTTGGTCAATAAAATAAAAATAAAATAAAATCTTTAGTAAAAAAAACCTATTATAAAACATATCTCAAGAAAGCAGCTTAATAACATTGGACCACTTGGTGACTGCTGCATATCATAAAGTTGCTGAAGTGAAAAAGTGAATCATACAGCATAAATCATAAGAGGTCTGAAGCCGAAATGAGGTCTACAGATTCCTGATTTCATTCATACTGTTTCAAAGCTATTCTACATAACAAAAATGAACTATAGGCCTTTATTTAAAATAGACCACAGTCACTGATCACTGAAGTGAGATATCAACTTCAGATGCTCCAAAAAGGCCTGTTTTTTAAATTTTTTGAAAGGATCTTACCGACCTGTTTTCTTGCCCTTAACTCACGGGGTCCCCAGAATGATATCAGGATGCAGATAAACATTCAGTTGAATTTGTAAAACCATCTTAGCCTGAAAAACATACTGAACACATACTGGGAAGCTGATGAGTATCAGTTTAGCTTCTGGAGAAACAAAACACAAGATGCACATGATCTGACCACATCAAGTACAATTTAGTTTGATGCCACATCATTTGAGTGTAACCTGAAGAAACGTCCTCCGAGTCTCTGTTTGGGTCGGGGTCTCCTGTTCCCTGCGCGGCGCTGATAAGCATCCGATACCACTGCGTCCAAATCAGATCGAAGAAGAAACACGTACCAGCGCTCAGCCAATGAGCGATCAGATTACTGTCCGCCAGCGAATCAGCGCGGCTCATGTTGAGCCGTACTTAGATCCAGCGCTGAGTTCCAGGATCCGAGCGCGTGAGTTGTTTCTGATCGTCTTTTATTGATTAATCAGTAACGAGGTTTTATAAAAAATGATTTTATGATGGGTTTGTAAAGACTGTGAGGAATATGACACGTTATGTAGTTACAATTCACGTTCGAGGGTTTAAGGCTTTTAACACACACACACACACACAAAACGGAAGCTGTACTGTTTGACCGAATTAAATCAGCAAGCTTACCTAAAATATTATATTTATGACATATAATATGAAATTATTATTATAATTTTAAGTTCTCGTTAGCCTTAATCATCCATTACATCTGGTTGCTATGGAATTAAATAAAAAGCTACCATGGTAAACATAGTTACCGCTGAAACACCATAACGTTAGTCATTACAGTTGTTATGATCATTACTCATTATATACAGTAAGTCTTTTGTGTCTTTTTTATTACAGTGGTGACTAATACCATCCAAAACTATTTTAAAGAGCATTTTGCTTTTAGGTTTCTATGACATAGCAACGTATTTACGAATATTGAAATAATTTGGCCGTATTATTACATTTATTAACACAATGTCTCTTGCATGCAGAAGTATTACACTGATTAATATACTTTTCTGTAGGTACATACGGATTTTGGCATCTCGGTTTGGACTTTGACTGTGTCTCTTGACCAATTCGATGCTCAGTGCTCAAGTATGTACAGAAAAGCTGAACAAATAAATATTAGATACATTAATGCACGCTGTGTAGATGTTGAGATATCAAAATGCAATTGGATATGCATTGTGATTTTAAATAGAACTTAAATATAAATATATCTACTCTGTTGGCTGGCTTAAAATGATAGCATCAGTATAGAGTGAGTATTTAATTAAAAGAAATGGTTAAATGAAAAATACACCCTAATAAAGGTAAACATTGCTCATGGAATGAAATCCAGGAGGGCGAATATTAAAGGGATAGTTCACCCAAAAATGAACATTTTGTCATTTACTCATCCTCACGTCGTTCCAAACCTGTATGAGTTTCTTTCTTGTGTTGAACATAAAAGAAGATATTTTGAAGAATGCTGGGTAATCAAACAGTTGATGGTCCCTGTTGACTTCTATAGTATTTCTTTCCCTACTATGGAAGTCAATAGGGACCAACAACTATTTGGTTCTTTAAAATTCTTCGAAATATCTTCTTTTATGTTCAACATAAGAAAGAAACTTATATAGGTTTTCTAAGAAAGAATAGAGGTCTGGAACGACATGAGAGGTGAGTAAATGACAAAATATTCATTTTTGGGTGAAGTATCCCTTTAAGAAAAGAATGAATAATGTATCATTTTTCTTTGCTTTCCTTTTCGTCTTTACTGTCTTCTTTTCTCTTTGGTTTGTAGATTGAACGCTACATTAACAGTCCAGAAGCTCTTCACAATCCGCCGGACTACACGGATATCCTGAAGGTGGTTCAGCGCGCCAACGAACGCTACAAACTCATGCTCACCCGCAATAAGATGACACAAATCGCTCAAGAAGCCTTCAGAGAAACGGGCAACAAACTGCAGGAGAGACGCCAGCTTGACATGGTCTACAACTTCGGCTCCCACCTCACCGATTCCTTCAAACCTAGTAATTCAGTTCAGTTACTCTCCAATTCAGCTAGAGAACATAATCAAGTCTTATTGTATTAGTCTTATGTTTTACACGCGCCAATAATTTCTGCACATTTCTGGATTGCTGTAAACATGGATGGGCTCCAGTAATATTTAATGATTGTAAGTTCAGCATTCAAGGTGAATGTCCTGTGTTTCCTTCAGCGTTAGACCCTGCACTCACTGATCCAGCACTAAATCGCAAACTCCGCTCAAACAGAGACGTGGCTCTCAGCAGCCTGGAGGAGGTGATCACCAAATACTCTAATAAACAGGAAGACATAGAGGTAGAGGAAATGAGGAAGAAACAAGAGAGAGACAGACAGAAAAAAGAGGTAAAAGAACCAAATATGTTCTTATATATATTG